CCCCAAAACCCCAAAACCCCAAAACCCCAAAACCCCAAAACCCCTAATAAAATGTAGAAACTTGAACTGAAATTATTAGAATTTAAATTAAATTTTTATATTAAAAATGAAGGATCCTCCTGATCGCTCAAAGCAGGATGATGATTTTGAAATGACTGAGTTAAGTGACCATGAGCACGAGTCAGAAACATCCTCAAATAATATTCATTCCATAGGTAAGGGACTGTATTACATATAGATGAAATTTCTTATATATTTTTACTGATAATAGCAATGAAAAAGGCTCTTCCTCTCTCCCTATCATTAGTTGCAAATGTCGGCTCTCTTACCTTTATTTCATGAACGATGTCAAGAATGACGAGGAATCAGGATATCCTTGGAGCAGTGGGACTTGGCAATATGACTCTAAATCTAATCCTCAGAAGCTACATTTTTGGCTTCAATAACTCACTAATGTCATCATTATCTCAAGCGTATAGAACAGGACAATATAGTAAAATGGGTCATATCATAAACAAAAGTAAAATATTATTCCTACTCTGAATGATTCCTCTGATGATATTTCTATTTTTCATTTACAGAATACTACTTCTCTTCGGATTGAATGAGAGGGTTGCCTCCAATACACAGTTCTATGTCAGAATTGGGATGATAGCTTTTGTATTCCACCTTTATTTTGACGTTTATCGTAAAATGCTAAATTCTATTGGGCTCTCGTATGTGCATTCTTCAGTCCCTTATATTTCCTTTGGGCTTCATATCTTCTGGTGATTCTCTCTGATAACTTACTTTGATTTGGGACTAGTAGGAGCTGCTATTTCTGTAAACATTCAGTCACTCACAAACCTAGCAATTTTATACCTGATAGTGCGCTGGTTTGGATACGGAAAGGAAATATCAAAGCCGATGAGCAAAGAAGCTTTTGAAGGATGGTCAGAATTTTTAGTCAAAGGAATCCCTTCCTTTCTTCTACAGTTAATCTCTTATATGTCGATTGAAATCATCATCCTTCTCTCTGGAGCTATCGACACTGAAATCCTCATTGCAAATTCAGCACTAGTGAATCTTCTCTATCTGATGTATCTTTATATCTACGGTGCAGTGCAGGCTCTCTCCCCAATGATCACTACAGAGATTCGTGAAGGAAATAAAAAGGGTGCTGAGAGGATAATCAACACTTTGATCTTATTCGGAGTGGTTTTTACTTTCATCTCATTATTAATTCTTCACTGATTTAAGCACTTTATTTTCTACCTGTACACACCTCAAGAAAGTATTATCGAAAAGATGGACAAGATTGTTTATATTTATTCTCTAGCGTTAGCTCTCAATAATATGAAGGATACTCTGGTTGGAGTCATTATAGGGCTAGGGATCCAGAACAAAACAGTGGCATTCAATTTAGTGTCATATCTACTCCTCGGTATACCACTTTCGTACTACTTGTCGCTAAGCCATCATTGGACAAATTCAGGGCCATGGCTTGGAATCAGCTTGGCAAATTTCCTAAATGTGATATATTATCTCTACCTCTGCAAAGGAATTGATTTGCAATGGTTTGTCCAACAGTACCGTAGAAAATACCTCAGAGTATCCAGAATAAGCCTAGATTAGTTTCATTAATCTCTGAAAATATGCAAAGAATAATCTCAAAATATGGCTATTCACATAATATTATTCAATTGCTAAAACAACCTCTGGGGTTTTGGGGTTTTGGGGTTTTGGGGTTTTGGGGTTTTGGGGTTTTGGGG